GTTGAGGGCAATAAAGACTGGAGAGCAGTGTGTGCAGTGTGTAGGGGACAAGTGCACTCTCACTCACTTACCAACTCGCTGGGGCTCATAAATTGTAACTGACTGACTAAACAGACACTATGCAACACACTGGTAGAGTCTCTCACTGCAGTAGTGCCCAATCGGAATGTGTGAGAAAGTCAACGGCTGCTGCTAGGTCCGAGGACTGTGTTTGGTGGGTGAGAGAGTGGCCTTGAGAGCCAGCCTAGGCCACTCTGCTGATTACACACAGACATGGGTGACACATAGAAAGGCAAGGGAAAGCAGTGTGTTCCTTCCAGTGCAATAGCTCACACACTCTCAAGCCCTCTCTGTCTTTTGCATGACAAAGGCTGACTAGCTGGAAGGGCAAAATAGAAAGAGAGGGATAGAGAGGGAGCAACAACAGCAGCAACAAAAAATTAGCAAATGCGAAAATAAATTTTGCTATCGAGACTGCTGTAGCAGGCAATGAAGAAGAAGACAGCAAATGGCAGAATGATTGCTCTCGTTTCGTCTCTAATGGCTAATAGAGATGGAGATGGAAATGGAAATGGAGAGAGGACTAAAAATAGAGAGGACACCCAAACTGCTTCCACAGAAGATGATGATGATGATGAGGCAGCAGCAGCCATTACTGGCCACAATAGCCAGTCAGCAGCAGCAGCAGCAGACTACTCACTGACAGAAGATGGACGAGCAGATAGAGCAAAATGTCTGTCTGACTCAGAAAAAGAGATTGAAAGAAGATTTAGAGCTAGTGTTTAAGCCATATGCAACAGCAGCAAATGGCTCAAACACGTGTCCACAGTTTCCAATCGTACGAAAACGACCACGTCAGTCACACCATCGAACACCCATCAAAAGTTGCTGGTGGTGGTGTGTGGTGTGTGTTTACAAATTGCCCTTCGCTTGCTTCGTTCGGTTGCCCACNATGGACGAGCAGATAGCAGAGCGAAATGTCTGACTCAGAGAAAGAGATTGAAAGAAGATTTAGAGCTAGCTAGTGTTTGAGCCATATGCAACAGCCGAAGCAGCAGCAGCAAATGGCTCAAACACGTGTCCACAGTTTCCAATCGTACGACCACGTCAGTCACACCATCGAACACACATCAAAAGTTGCTGGTGGTGTGTGTTTACAAATTGCCCTTCGCTTGCTTCGTTCGGTTGCCCACTCTCTAATTAGATCCGAGAATAGATCTGCCGGAGAGATCTCTGTTAGAGTGTTGGTGTATCTGCAGCACTGAGCCAGCGCACTGTATGGCACTTTCGATTGCCCATTCACAGATCAATCTCTCCTTCTCCCTCTCCTCTAAAACTGTTCACAACCGGCAATTTAGAATATACCAGTGTGCCAGAGAGGAAAGAAGAAGAAGCAGATCAGATCAGCAATCGCTGACAGACGCTAAATATAACAGGCGACCAAGAAAAAGAACAAGCGAACAAGAAGAGCACTCGAGAGACGGCGGCGGCGGCGGAAATCTCACGAGAAGCTGAAGGAAAAAAATGAGAAAGGCAAGCCATCCTCGATGGCGAAAGTGATATCCAGATCAGTTTTACAGAGGGGAAGGGAGGGAGAGAGAGAGAGAGAGAGTAAACAGAAAGGAGGAAACTTCGAGAGAGAGCGAAGATCAACAGCAAAGTTCACCACCATCGGCAACCCTGGAATTGGACACTTTTACGAGTGACGAATAGTGCTGCCGTGATGGGAATCTTCACTGGGTAATTTCAAAGTCAGCAGAGAAGAAGACGAAGAAGAGGGAGCAATTAAGCGTGGGGGCAATGTCAGCAGCAATACCCAGTGCGCTTCTTCAATCAACAGTCTTTGTAGTCTCCAGAATGAAGAAAGTCAGCACAGAGTAGACACAAACACAGCAGAGTAAACACTGGCAATGTCAGTGTCAGCGGTGCTGGTGCAGTGGTATCAAGTGTCAGCTTTCAATGGAGCAGGAATGAAAAGAGGAAGAGCTGATGGAAAAGACATTAGACACCGGAGAGAGAGCGAGAGCGTCGGTCATTCTCCAAAAGCTCTATTGAAGACTCTTCATCATCCCTCCACTTCACTTCACTTCACTTCACCGTTGACTGCAAATTAGGTTTGCCGTGCTGAGCAAACACACACACAGCCACAGCTAATAACATTATTACTTTTGTCTGGTCGTCGCCGACGCCGCCGGGAGTCAGTAGGTCGAACTGGAGAGCAAAAACGGCGGCGGCTNATCCACTTCACTTCACTTCACCGTTGACTGCAAATTAGGTTTGCCGTGCTGAGCAAACACACACAGCATTAGCTAGTAACATTATTACTTTTGCCTGGTCGCCGACGCCGCCGCCGGGAGTCAGTAGGTCGAACTGGAGAGCAAAAACGGCGGCGGCTAATTAGGCTGAAAAGGCAGCATCTTAAATTAGAGAAAACGCCGAGACGCTTTCGATTTGACAGCAGCAACAGCATCGGCAGCTTTGCTGGCGGCAGGATTGCACATTGCAGCCGGTGGTGGTGGTGGTCAGTGTCAGTGCTGCCTAGTCAGACGCTAAAAATTCGCCAAAGAAGAAGAAGAAAATGGCAAAGAAGCCATTGAAGAGGTGGCGAGTCGCCGCAGCCGTCGACGGCCTTGACTGCCTCTGCAGCAGCAGTTTAGGCGCAGTAATCAATTGACTCCTCTCCATCTCTTTCCCTCCTTCCCTCC